ATGTCTCTCCTCTACATTAAGCGCGCAGAGAGCTAGCAGCTAGCATTAGACCAACTCCACTGCCCCCCTGCTGGAAAAAGAGAGAACAGAGAAGGGAAAACTTTACTTGAGATGAAAAGACCCTTCGTAGTTGTTTACTCACCCTTTCATGTTGAAGAAAACACGTTTGTTGTGAGGGATACAGGGGCAGTTGGCGGTATTTGGCAGTCTAAAGGGGAATTTGGGCAGAGTTTGGGATGTGATCCCCTCCACATGTATGCTGCTAGCACACTAGCTAAGCAGTCCGCATTTGCCTCTGTGCTGTGGCCGAAGGTTGCCAGGTCTTTTTGATTAAATCACCGCAAACAACATAAGTCCGATTGAGAACCTAATTAAAATATTTTATTGTTGTTTTGAAACATAACTCATTTACTATAATAGGTAATGTAACGTAAATATATATAAGCACGCATTTAACCCATGGAAAAGGGGTTAGGCTTTTAAAGCTTGGGATTTTACATCAGTAACTAGTCGATGGCTGATGAAACGGAGGATTTGGCAACGCTAGTATTGGGAGGCTGCTCCTGTCAAACTTCACCACTGACAACAAGCAACAGGAAACAGAAAAACGGGAAATTACGTTTTAAAATGTTATGCCCTGAAAATACAAGTCCTATTTTAATCCAAATAAAATAATCTGTCGACGAAATTGAATGTTTCTTGAAAAGAAAAAATGTCTTTGTATCAAAGTCCCTTGGATGTAATGGCTACTCTTGTAATCCCTATATACAGTGTAATAATATGCACAAATTAATATGATTATGAGTTAATAAAAATTAAACTGAATTAAACATTTTACTGTTTATAGTCAAGGTGTTGACTTTTACATGTAGAATAATTTAATTCAAATTACATTTAAACATTTACATTTAAACGTACATTAAAGATTTTTACACTGTATTAAATTTTACACAGTAACTACAGTGTAGTTACTTCAGTGTGGATGAAAATTCTGCCTTTGAAGTACAGATATATCCATGGCGTCAAGGGTTGACTAGTCAGCTTGGCCTTGTTAGTCCCTGCTGCTAGATGGCATAACTACACAATCTGAGTGCAAATAGCATCATTCTCTATTGACGGCCATCAAGATAGTTGTTAATAAAGGGCTTTTTTCTTCTTTTTTTTTACAGTATATGCTTGGGACTGTGAGTATTTTTATAGATTTACACATCACAAATGTATAAAAACTGTTTAATTACTGCTTTGTTTAAAATGTCTTTATGATAGCTGAAGTGTAGTTTATATATATATATCAAGTTATGATTGATGATCAGCTGACTTTCTCAGACCACATTGCTAAAAGCCATCTTCAAGAATCAGCCAAAAACACATCTCTTCCATCTTTATTTGACCCTCTAACTATAGTACTCTCTATTCTAATTCTATTCTTTATTTAAAAAATTCAAAAATAAATAAAAAATAACTTTTTAGACTTGCACTCTATTTATTTACTAACTGCTTATTTTCTTAAAAAAAAAACGTAACACTTGCTTCTCTAATCTTTTTGCATTCTATCTATCTATTTGTTTTTTGTTTTTTTTATTATACAATTATAATTATGACTTTCTGACTTCTGATTAACAACAGCAAAAAAAGTCCTCTAACACTAGCTTGCTCTATTCTTTATCTATTCTATCTGTTTTCTTTTTATTTATTATATGATTTAAAAAAAAAAACCTTGCTATGTGTACTGCATTAAGCTAACTGAGACTTGTTATAGCACTTGCATATCATTGCTCTTTTGTTGATTTTGATTGCTTCCATTGTCCTCATTTGTAAGTCGCTTTGGATAAAAGCATCTGCTAAATGTTTAAATGTAAATGTAAATGTAAAAGAAGCTGTTGAGGACCAAGAAGGATAGAGGCAATTAGGGTGAGGGCAGTGATGAAGAATAGGTTGTTGTGGAAGTCAGGCATTTGTGATCCATACAACAACCAGAGGTCAGGAAAGATGCCAGTGTCTATTGGCATTGCTTTTCTGACAGGCAGGGATGCTCTAATGATGACTGCACACGTGTGGAATGTGTGGGGTACACTGAAAAAGAAGAAACTTGTTGACTTTCCCTTCACTTGATAAGGTCATGTAGAAAACAAATTTTGGAAAATGATTTACTACTAAATATATGTAAAATATAAAGTCAATTATTTTTTTTCAAGCTGTGAATTCACAATTAATTCCATAAATGGTTCTACATGAAATAACTATTTTAAGCTGTTAAAGGTATAATGAAACATTCAAAAAAAAATTTTTTTCAATCTTTCGATTTCTTCCATTAGTTCTTTTATTTCCTCACATTTCACATTGCCAGCTGCTCATAATGTATTTTCATTCCGTTTTTCTTTTATTTAAACTCTCTCTTTTTTGCTCTCTCGCTCTTCTCTCTGAATCTCTCCATCGCTGTCTCTCCTCCTCTTTCTTTTGTATTTCTTCTTCTCTCTCTCTTTCAGATTTCTTTCTCAGTTTCTCCAGTTCCTCGTTTTTCTCTCAATTGTTCCTCATGTCTCTCTTTTCTCTTTCTGTCCTCTTCCTCTCGTTCTTTCATCTGTCTTTTCTTTTCCTCTTCCCATTCTCTCTGCTGTTGTTTAATGTTCTCTTGAATCTCCTTTTTGTCATTTTCATGATCTTTTCTTCCTCTTTCCCATCTCTGTCTCTATTCCTCTTCCTCCCATTTCCTCTTTTGTTCCTCCAAACGTCTCCTTTTAGTTTCCTCTTCTTGTTTCTTTCTTAATTCTTCAATTTCACGGTTTTGCTCATCTTTAAGCTTTTGTTGATCTTGTTCATATTTCTCTTCTCTCTTTTTATCCTCCTCTTCTTTTTCTTTTTGCTGTTTTTCATGCAGCGACCTCTGATTTTCCATCCCTCTCTGCATCTCTTCAACTTTTTGGTCATGTTCAATTTTTTGTTGTTTTTCTTCAACTGATCGTTTTTGTCCTACACCTCTCGCCTTTTCGGCTCTGCCTTTTCTTTCTCTTCAAACTGTTTTCTGAGTCTCCTCTTTTTCTCTGAACTGGTTCTCCATTTTTATTCTTTCCTCATCTGAATTTCTTTTCTCTTTCTCCAGTCTCTCCATCATGTTTTCCATTTCCATGTAATATTTTGCCTGTATTTCTCTCTTTTTCTTTAAGAATTTCTTCCATTCTCTTTTTAATGGACATCTCTGCATCCTCCAAACATGGTGTTTGAAATATTGCCCCTTATTAGATTTTTTTCACTTCTTTTGTCGTATTAAAAAGCAGAGTAACTTGTGTGTGATCTTCCTTGTCTCTGTTATTAAAAGCAAAAAATCTGTTTCCACAGTCCCTGATCAATTTCTTGAATTTTGCATTTCTACTTTTCTCTATTCTTCTATTGTTTGTTGTATCAGGTCATCACCTCTGAATAGCACAATGCTATTTGTATATTTCCATGTCCAGTCTTTCCAATCAGCACAGTTCTTAAAAAGCCTGAATCTAATGGTGCATCTTCACCTGAAATGAACAATTATTGAATTTGAACAAATTGAATACTTAAGAAGTTAACTACTTTACCACAATTACATAACAACGACTACCACCACATGCAAATTATCATGGCATATCTGCAAAAGCATACAAGTGCATCATTTTGCCCCCCCCAAATGCATTACATTTGTATGCATTTGTCTTCTTTTCATGGTCTAATCTGATGAGAATACTGCTTCTGAATAAATAACAGTTAACCCGCAATAAATTCCTTCTTTCTCTTTGGACAAGTAACTTTTTTACTCAGACAAGTAAAGGACCAGTATAATGATCATTATATTGAAAAGAAAAAAAAAAGATGCACTGTAAATTAAGAGTCATTACTTTTCAGAGTATTTGTATGAAATGCTTTTGCATTTCATGTTGTTTGCTAGCGCATCCTTCCCCAGCAAGACAATCCTCAGCTCATTCACTTAAGCACAGAACACACACACACACACACACACACAAATATCATGCAATGCCAAATCACTGTAACACCATCACTGAAAAATCTCAATCAAATATGAAGCATTCAGACAGCAATAATGTTAGAATTAACATGCATTTAAAAAACAAATTAGACTGAAAAAAGACTTTTGCATTCTACATATAATAATAAATTTACAACCAGATTTCACATAAGACTACCAAAATAGTAATAATGTGAGAATATCGTACCAAGTACCAAACATAAGCACTCATATTTATAAAGATAATAAAGTGCATTAATAAATTATTTAAATGAATTACTTTGATTTACTGTTCAGATGGTCAGCATTTAGACTTTCCCGCCTTATAGGCCCTAATGTAAAACACACAGAGAAATGCATCTGTTTTTGTGTTATACAGTAACTGTATGTGTATGTGTTATAAGTGCATTGTGTAAGCAATAATCATCATTGTGATACACAATTAACAGACTATTTAAAACTGATTGTTACCAGGAAACATAGTTGAAATAGATTTAAGATTGTGATTGTTTCCTTGTTGTTGTTGCTATTTTTAAGACTTACGAACACACACTTTGATCAGTGACTCTGTTTTTCACATAATTCTGTTTCAACTCTAGACAAAACCAACATATAGCAAAATAAACACACAATAAAACAAACAGCTCATGACCTGAGACAGATGTGTCTGATTAGACACATTCAAAATGTGCACTTTTGGGGACACTCCAGGAACAGGTTTGTGAACCACTGCCATAAATGAACATTAGTCTTAACTTCATAATCTACATGTTTTGTGGGGATTTTGCCACTGATTTTGCCAAATTCTCAGCCTTTAGAAATGAAAATATGTAAGCGTGAAAAAGCGTGAAAAACGAGTTTTGCTTGTTTGTTGGATATCTTATAGAGCTATCAGACACCAGACTAGAGGACAATGCACAAAGCATCAGTAAATAACAGTAACACTATTTCAGCACACAGTAGGGGGCGATACAGAGTTTTCTGCGCACGCTGTTCACTCTGCAGAGGGAGAACGTGCTGTGACTACAGCAAACGACAGGTCTCGACTGAATGAAGTCAGCTGACTTTTCTCGTTCCTCACGTCTCATCTCACCAAAGGATCTGGACACAGGACTGTCTCGGTTTTTGAGGTATTTACTAATCTTTGAAATGATAATCATATATATATTTTTATGCTTGAAAGCATTGTATTGCAGAAGTGTACTTGTTAGGTTTATCAAGCAGAAAATATGATTTTCTCAAATTCTCTTTGTAGTTTTTTCTTTAATAATCATATAACAGCGTCAGCTTATTTTACTGCTGTACACTGTCTTGTGTCGCCGAATCATTGCTCGCTTCGCCTCTGCATGCAGCTCATTGGAATCGTTAGATGTTTATTTTCCCTGCTGCACTGGGAATAACCCACTTGGATGCTAAACAGATTGCTGGAGAATTTCAGGATATTATCTATATGATGGATTTAAGTGTTCACGAACACATGAGATGGATCCCATTACTCGCTTTAATTAATGGGAGACAAAACTTACCTTAGATTTTCAGCAGAGGTCAAATTCTATCAGCAGCTTCGTGATCATGTGATCATGCAGCGTCTCTTCGCAGCTCGATATCCAGTGCGTGCAACAGCTACAGGCATTAAACGATCTTTGAATGCATCTGGAGAATATATATTTAATAGCCTTTATTTAGTCCTCTCATCTCTGTAGAGATGATTGTATTTGGGCACTGTGATATTTGATACCCAAATAGGCAATACGTCAGAAGGCAGCTCACTAGGTTTTGACACACAACGGCTGCCTGCTGTTTTCCTTTTAACAACAGCATGCTAGGTTTGCAGACCACATGTCCTTAAGGATTTTTCTGTACTGACGGAACTCAGTTTTTCACCTGTGGTCAAAATTCTGATGTGAACATACTTCATACCAAATGGACCATTTGTCCCCAGTAATCCCAGATGTCTGAGCATCATGTTATTATAAATTCACAAAAACCTGGAAGTTAGACTGCTTCCTCTTGAGGTTTTGAATAGCAAGAAATATAGTTGGCTATTTTTATGAAGGAAGGTGTCAGTGTCATGCATTGCTTTTACAGACCATTTTGGGTGTTTAGTTGGCTGGTTCTCAACGAAAAATGATTTGATCTGTCATAAATTGCCGCTACAATACACCCTTTTTTTTTTTTCCAGATTTGCTCAACTGTCTGTTTTCCCAACTTCCTCACATGGTTTCTGTTTTACAGTCAGTGTCATGTGCCTTTGGTCATGTGACCGTGTTCTATGTTTGTCCTGCATTTACATGTTGTATAAATGGGCTGTTTACACAATAGACAACCTCCTGTCCTGGAAATTGCTATTATTACTACTGCAAATCATTCTGATAAAAACATATAAAGTGAAAAATAACAGAAAAATAATACACTAAACACATTTATACATTTTTAAACATATTTAACTATATGATGGTACCTGTATATTAATATATAAATGAATCACAATAATCATGTGCAGCTTGTGTATTGTGCAGAATGTTCAGAAGTGTAGAAATAAGTCCAGAAAGTAAGTTTTTTTTTTTTTTTTACTTAATTTTGTATCAGACACATTCAAAATGGACTTCTCCAAGCTTCCCAAGATCCGAGATGAGGAGCAGGAGGGACAATTTGGATATGTGCACGGCGTATCTGGACCTGGTTAGTAGGAATTCAGATGTCATAGTTTTTATTTTATTTTATATTATTATTTTATTTTAATTGATTATTTTGGATTATTATGTCACCAGAGCTTTTGGTGTTTTATTTAATTTAATTTAGAATTTTTTTGTGTCATCTGTGATTTGGATTTTTTAATTTTTTATTTTATTGATATATATTTTTAATTTATATGTATTTATTTATTTATTTAGCTTTTTTTTAAACTATTCACAAGTAATTTTTGAAGATCCCGTAACTTACTCACTAACTGTGTTGTAGTGGTGACGGCCTCCAGTATGGCAGGAGCTGCCATGTACGAGTTGGTACGAGTGGGCCACAGTGAGCTTGTGGGGGAGATCATTAGACTGGAGGGTGACATGGCCACCGTTCAGGTCTATGAAGAGACATGTATCCTATTCTAACCTTAGTACAGTACATACTTTCTGTGGTTTCTGTTGTACGCAGTGCTTAGAATCTATTAAATAGTATTGTAGTGTTCCTGAGCTTTCATCAGCTGGTGTGTCGGTTGGTGACCCTGTCCTGCGCACAGGGAAGCCCCTCTCTGTGGAGTTAGGACCAGGAATCATGGGCTCCATCTTTGATGGTATTCAGCGTCCCCTCAAAGACATCAATGACCTCACACAAAGTATCTACATTCCTAGAGGAGTCAACATTGGTGCCCTTAATCGTGATCTGAAATGGGAGTTCTCTCCATCCAAGAGTGTGCGAGTAAGTGAAAGATTAGTTTTAAGTTAAGGTACAGAATTATTGATGTTTTACAAGTTTAGTTTTGGTTATGATGGTTGTGATGTTTTTCTTAGTTATTAAAGGATTTAACATCCTTTCAGATTCCAAGAAGGCAAATTACTTAGCTTTTAGGGGTCATATCATGAGCATATCAACATTTTTTGTAAACTTTTGCGATTTAAAAAGATCATTGTACTATGAAAATCTGGGAAACATGACAGAGTTTTTGCTGTTCCTGGCTGTGTGTAGCACCTACACTCCACCTGCTTATTCTTATTAAGGATCCCAAACAAATTTAGGCATCACAACATAGTGATTAGTGGACATAAATGAAAATAAATGTAGTAATAATAATTAAAAAATGTATGATATGACCCCTTTTAAAGGAAATGCAATGCAATCAGGTGATTAATCAAATGATAAAATGAATGATTTTAAGCTGTTGTTTCTGTGTCCAGGTTGGCAGTCATGTCACTGGAGGTGATATCTATGGTATGGTGTTTGAAAACTCTCTTATTAAACACAAAATAATGTTACCACCAAGAAGCCGAGGAACTGTCACATACGTAGCACCAGCTGGAAACTACGATGTCTCTGTGAGGTTAAAAACATGGACATCTTTTTCAAAAACAGTAAAATGACAATTACTGTGACAGAAGTTAGTGTGTATGTGTGTGTGTTTGTCAGGATGTGGTGTTGGAGTTGGAGTTTGAGGGGGTAAAAGAAAGATACACCATGGTGCAAGTGTGGCCCGTGCGTCAGGTCCGGCCAGTCACAGAGAAACTTCCTGCGAATCACCCTCTGCTGACTGGTCAGCGGGTACTGGACGCCCTCTTTCCGTGAGTCATGCTGTGTGAAATGATTCCATAGGAAACAGAATAATATAAGTTTTCTATTTAAAAATAAAAAAAGTAAACCCAAAAGTAATTTTTCTGAATAATAGGCTCAATTTTCAGATGGGCAAATCATGCATTTCTAAAGCTCAATTTTCCCCAAAGGATTTTTTAATAATAATATAGGACTTTTCATAAACATCAATCAACAGAAATGGGAGTGATTTAAATAATTGGTTTAAATAATTATAGGGAAAAAATGTAGTACAGTAGTAGTACTATGAAAGTGGATGTTTTAAACATTACAGATATACACTTCCGTTCAAATGTTTGGGGTGATTTGTTAGTGTTTTTGAAATAAGTCTCTTACTTATTTCTCCCATGTGCTCCCCAAGGCTGCATTTATTTGATCAAAAATAGTAAAAACCGTAATATTGTGAAATATTACAACCATTTGATAAAAATACAACAGTTTTCTATTTGAATTTGTTTTAAAATGTAATTTATACCTGTAATGGTAAAGCTGAATTTTCAGCTGCCATTACTCCAGTCTTCAGTGTCACATGGTCCTTCAGAAATCATTCTGATCTGCTGATTTGCTGCTAAGAAAACATTTATTGTTGTCAATGTTGAAAACATTTGTTCTATTTAATATATTTGAGAAAACGTTGATAAATTTTTTTTTTTCAGGATTCTTCTAAATTGAAGTCTTTTGAAGCATTATAAATGTCTTTACTGTCACTTTTGATCAATTTAATGCATCCTTGCTGAATAAAAGTATTATAAAAGCTTTAAAAAAAATCCCAAACTTTTGAACAGTAGTGTAAATGTCTGATAGCTCAACAGTTCTTTCAGTGTTGACTGTTTGATTTCACAGGTGTGTGCAGGGAGGAACCACAGCCATCCCTGGTGCTTTCGGTTGTGGTAAAACTGTGATCTCTCAGTCCCTGTCTAAGTACTCCAACAGTGATGTCATTATCTATGTAGGCTGTGGAGAGCGTGGTAACGAGATGTCTGAAGTACTCCGAGATTTCCCTGAGGTGAATAGCACTGTAGTTGTACCAACAGCACAAACACTGTAATAGATGGTAGGGTGACTGACAGTTCTCTTGCCCTATAGCTCACCATGGAGGTGGATGGGAAAGTGGAGAGCATCATGAAGAGAACAGCCTTGGTTGCCAACACATCCAACATGCCGGTGGCTGCCAGAGAAGCTTCCATTTACACAGGTTTGTTGAACATTTGATGCAAAAATAATGTGTGTGCTTTAAAACCTAGCAGCTGTGTGTCATCATTAATGGGTCTTTATTCCATTCAGGAATCACGCTGTCTGAGTATTTCAGGGACATGGGCTACAATGTGAGCATGATGGCTGACTCCACCTCTCGATGGGCAGAGGCTCTGAGGGAGATCTCTGGTCGTCTGGCTGAGATGCCTGCTGGTACGTGTGCTGTGACCATCTCAGGCATGACAGCAAATATTATAAACTACAATTTCTGAAGTAAATTTATGTTTGTTTGCTTGTGTTCACAGATAGCGGTTATCCTGCCTATCTCGGAGCACGTCTGGCCTCATTTTATGAGCGTGCTGGTCGAGTTAAATGTCTTGGTAACCCAGAGAGAGAGGGCAGTGTGAGCATCGTGGGAGCGTAAGTAGATCTTTTGGATGCTTTTTCTTCTTCAGACTCCATCATTTACTTGTTTGCTTTGGTAAGGTTTTGATGTATTATTTATGAATGCTGTTGTTAACTGTTAATATATGCATTGTCTGCAGACTCACTTGAAGCTTTTTTTTTTGTTTCGTTTTAATTGCAGTGTGTCTCCCCCTGGTGGTGATTTCTCAGATCCTGTGACATCTGCTACTCTTGGTATTGTACAAGTATGTGAAGTTTTCCTTCACACTGCAGTCTTAACACACTGGCTCATAGCAGAATAACATTATTTGTTCTTCTTCCAGAGATAAGCGGTCTAAAAAGTCCTTTTTGTTATTGTAATCCTTCCTCTCTTTCCCTGTTCCAGGTGTTTTGGGGTCTGGATAAAAAGCTGGCTCAGAGAAAGCACTTCCCTTCAGTGAACTGGCTCATCAGTTACAGTAAGTACACACGAGCACTGGACGAGTACTACGACAAGCACTTCCCTGAATTTGTGCCGCTGCGTACCAAAGCCAAAGAGATCCTGCAGGAAGAGGAAGACTTGGCCGAGATTGTGCAGCTCGTGGGGAAGGTGAGTTTGTAGGTTCAAGCATGTTTACTGTTTGTATACATCACTTTTTGTGGTATTATTACAGGCATTTTTCAGTGGTAAAACACATTTATTTTTTTAGGCATCATTGGCTGAAACGGATAAGATCACGCTGGAAGTTGCCAAATTAATCAAAGATGATTTCCTGCAGCAAAATGGATACACGCCTTATGACAGGTATTGAACTGATTGTAGCTGAGGAACATTCAACTGCTTTGTCACATGACCTGTGAATGTGACGGTATGGGTCTAAAATGCTAAATTTCTCATTTTCAGGTTCTGTCCATTCTATAAGACAGTGGGTATCTTGTCCAACATGATTGCGTTCTATGATATGGCACGTCATGCCGTAGAGACCACTGCACAGAGCGACAATAAGATCACCTGGGCCATGATCCGGGAGCACATGGGAGAAATTCTGTACAAGATCAGTTCCATGAAATTCAAGGTACAGGATGTAAACATTGTTAGTGTTTTGATAAAATCAATCATGCCTTAATTATGTCTAAACCAGTGGCTTTTTGCCTCCAAGCCACTTTGATAAAATTATTTTAACAAGTTATTTTATGTAATAAAGTAAACTTGCAGCCCTCTTGGAAGTTTGCTGAGGTTTCCAACTAGGTGCCACTGCTCTACCACTTGATTTATTATGACTTCCATTGTCTTGGTTTGCCAATAGCTTGGTTCCTCTTTCACAGTGATCATTCACAAGTCTTGTGAACAAGCCAAACAGTGCAATTTAATCACATTATATGGCTAGAGACTGAATATTGTGTCTTGGTATTATTTTTAAAGCTGAAGTGTGTTCTTTTTGTGAAGACAAAAATACTTTCTTCTATCCCAACTTAACATGTCGTCAGCTATAAGTATTCTATTCGTTGATTGGGATAGTTTGAAAAGACTTACACATTTAAAAAGAAATGACACTTCATTTTCAAATTTCATTGTTCAATACAGCTATAAAAATATTGTAATTATGAATGTCTTTCAATGTCTGTAACTGTATTTCAGGACCCAGTGAAAGAGGGTGAGGAGAAGATCAAAGCTGATTATGCCCAGCTCCATGAAGACATGCAGAACTCCTTCCGTACACTGGAAGACTAAGAGTCTGTCCTTAGCCATCATTCTCAGGGCAGGGCAGCAGAACCCCACATCCCCACAAACGCACCCAGTCAATGTCCTTTTCCCTTGTCTTATTGCTGTCTAATACATACCACTGCTTTTTTTTCATCTTGTGGTGTTATAGATGCTCTAGTGTTCTTGAGGTGTCTCCAAACACCTTTGTTTGTGCGTGTGTGTGCGCATTTATGTATATGTGCAATCTGTATGATCTTCTTCAAAGCCTCTGCTCTGCCCCAGTTCTTTATATTTTACAGATCATCCTCTCTATAGACATAGATGTTATTAAATAATTTGATGTAATTATTGTGATATTTTTATCTGTACAGAAGACTGGAAGACATGACTTAAGAGATTCACTGTATTTACTGCTGGAATATTTACTGTTTAAATGGTTATCAACATATTTCTTGTTGTTTTTGGTATGGATGTTTATTGCAGTATTGTCCTGTATATTTCTTTGAGGACATTTCCTCTTCATTGCTCACATGAAAATGTGTTTTGAGTCCTGGAAAAATATAAATAAAAAATGGATGAATTTACAAGTATTGTGAATAACAGTATTTAAGTGGATGTGTTTTGGAATCCTGCATTTTAAAACGGAATGCTTTTAGTACCGGTAGTTTGTTTTAACCAAAAATATTTGGTTAACAGGCCTTTAGCCTTTTTTGCGTTAATGTTTGATCCCTTTCAGATAAAACTTGAGCGAGCAAGATTATCATGGCTATTAATATGAAATATGTGGAAATGATTCCCCCCAAAAATAGAAAACTGGTTGGCCTACTCTCAAAGTTTCTTCTTCTATTTCTCCAAATGAAGATGTTTAACTGGCAACCTTGGTTTAGTCATGTGCTCATCATTTCACACCTGTTTTGAGGTATGTATTGTGTAAACAGTGCTTTAAAATTCAGTTGGGTGGTGGTGTGTTTGCAGCCTTTTCATCAGTCTGTAGAGAGTAGTTCCTCAAGTATTTCTAGCTTTGTGCAAGTCATTGAGCAGCCAAGAACTATGAACTTCTTACCAATATCATATGATCTGGCATATATAAAATGGCATATCATAAAAACAAATAATTATTCCCCATTTTATAGGATAAAATAAACTGTTTTGTCATAAACTTACATAAATTTTAACATCTAGATTACAAATGTAGCTATTAAGATAGGAATGTCTCTGATTTATCTGTACTATTCATCCAAACACTCGATGGGTCCATTTTCATGGCAGTGCTAAACCTTTCTTCCATTTCTTACTCTTCAAGTTTGGTTTGTTCTCAGAGGTTGAATATTATGTTCAGGCAGACATGTCTGCATTTGTGTGTAATCTATTTACCTAAGTACATGTGCATATGAATGATGTCAGTTTGTTTAACTGGTCTTACTGCATTTTCTCATCTTGAATCTGGAATGTGGATGCTCAAGTTCCCTGCCCTCGCTTCTTGTCTATTCAGTTCTAACACTTTCTAGTCTTATCTCAATGTGCTGCATAAATTCCCATAACTAACTTGTGTCTATGATTTTAGGTTTGTTTGACTTTACTGTCTTGTTACACATCATATTAAATGTCATAGATAAATCTAGCCTTAAACTGACACACCCACTAGTGTCTGAACCCTGATTAAGCAACAAAATGTAGTCTTTTAATATTTTTTTAATAAAAATGTTATGTGCCTGAACTGATGCAAGAGCGCCATAAAATATTATGTTTGTTTACATCCATAATAAGTGTCAGTATTTCACAACAATTTCTGTTATTTCAAATTGATTTATGAGTCGAAATTATGAGGGGTCTACTGTTGCTATGGTTACCTCATCAGGCGAACGCGATTTGTTTACGGAATTGAAAATATGCGCCCTTTTATCAAACTTTTATGGAAATTCCAATTTTTTTATATAGTTACATGCTTATAAACATATATACTTTATTTGTAAAAAGAACAAGTATTTTCAACAGAACTGAATATAGCCAATATCGAGGGGTGAGAACCAGAAGGGCGTAAGTGACATTTTTGGT